ACATGTAACTTTTGGCTGCTCTTGACACACAGCCTGCTGCAGACAGAAGTTAACAAATGGCAGATTTCCTCATTAGAGCCACCATGCAGTGAGTGCATCAGGGTGCTTAACTCTGATGGAATGAGGCACAACCGAGAAGGCAACGAGAACACTTAGAGGTGTTTAAGATCTTACTCATGTTAGTCTAATGCAGTCATACCAGGGATAATATTTATTTTGGGTTATGGCCAGATGACAATGTAATAGCCCCATTTGGGCAGTCTAGACCTTTCATATGCGTTAAACACTTCCCCAGAATGTATAATGTACTAAAAAAAAACCCCACTTTTAGAGTGCATACTTGTATCTAGTAGAAATGCTCTCTAGATGAACCAGAAGACTGGAATAGCTTTCCCAGCATATGGGATTAATACTACCAGAAAAAGAATAAAGAGCTTGAACAATTAATTTGCCTGATTTATAAATGTGACATTATTAAGAAATGAGGAGGAACCCAAACTTTTCAGAATGCCCTAAAGGGAAGTAAAATGTGAAGTATTCTTTTCTTTGTAAATGAGCTCAGTGCCAAAGCTTTGGTGGCAAGATGCTTATTTGTTTTTAATAGGCAGGCCTGATTTCTTCAGTGTTTCCGTTTTTCCCCATCTCATCACCTAAAGGCCTGGAATATGAAAGGTCAGACAAGCCTAGGAGGATTTACCAGGTCTTGTTATGGCACATCAGTCATCAAAGGAACATTGAACATTGATCATTTTTCTTCCAACTCCACATTATGATAAAGATATTTTGCTTTCCAAGCATGTATAAAGTGTTTAATGTTCTGTTTGTAAAATAAAAGGTAGAAGTCTAGGACAACTTATTAAAGCCTTCAAAACAGGACCAGAATAAACCCAAAAGAGAAATTATTGCTTCAGCTAGTAAAAATAAAAACCCAAGCCAGCTTTGATTCAGTTTTTATCAAAGCTAACTTTGCTTATAACTACATCTGTAAACCTAGAAAGCACTATGGACATTCAGGCACGTGAGTGGAGTGAGAAGTGGAAGTGGGTTAGGGGGAAGCTCACAAGCACTTCAGTTACAGGTCTAGAAAAGGTAAGTGTCCTCCTAGCAGAATGTGTGGAAATACTCCTTGCTTGTGCAGAAGGGAAGATTTGAGCCTTCCCACCAGAATCACCCATAGAGTACCCAAAAGAGTGGGGAGGCAAGGCCAGGATGGCAGCACCCTCCTCCTCCCTCTGCTGAAGATGCATTTCATGCTGCTGTCTGAGCACTCAGTGTTACAATTCCGAGTGCAAATTTTACACCAAGCATGAATTACAACTTCTTGAAGTGAATCTGTCATGCTTATCCAAATCTAAGTGAGAAATTTGTCAACTAAGAGATGTGGGCAGCATACAAAGCAGAATATGATAGAGGATAATGAAAATTCAGTATCTGCTAATGAAGTGGGGTTTATGTTGTTACCTGAAAAATTTCAGAGCAAAAAACTATTCAACACTTTCAAAACTCAAGATTGGTGCAGGAAAAAAACCCCAAATATCTGAAAAACAAATGTCTTCTCAGCTGCATAATCAAAAAAAGGTGAGAGCAGAAATCCATATGATTTTAGTAATGAATCGCTCATCTGGTGCGTGCTCCAGAGTAAGAAAAAACTACAAAATTTAGAAAGAAATGCAGCATGGCATGTAGAAAAATTCCTGATTTTGGCAGTCAGATGAGCATAGTTGCAGAACTTGGTTTATGCTGCTCTCAGGATTCTCAGCAAAATGATGCTCTTCCATTTTCAGCTGGAATCTTGATATGTACAAGTAGCATTCATTTGGTTCATCTTAGTTGTACATGCAGTATATCTAGTGATAAGAGTATTCCAGGCACAGTGGTTGGGCTGGGCACAGTGCCACAGGAGCTGCAGGGCTGGCTTTAGCCTTTCTACATGTTAGCAGGATCTAACATAAAGAAATGTTCTTTATGTTATCCTCTTACCTGAAATAAGAATGACCTCCAAACAAAAATTCAGATTGATACCACTGCCCAAACTAAGACCCACACAAGGTCACTCAGGGATCTGTACCACGTGGACAAGATTTCACTGTGCACAGTTCTTGTATATCTTGTACATACACTTGTGCACATTTGACAGCAGAAAATGCAGAGGAGCAAAAATGAATGTGGCCATGAAGAAAAAAGGGAACTCCTGAGGACAGGGAGCAACCAGCAGAAAAGAAACCTGCATTTGTTTTGCTGTATGGATGGCCCTAGAAATACCTGCTTGCATTATCAACTTCTACTCTGACAAGGAGTAAAAAATAAGAATAGTCTTATAGATACAGGTCATGCAACTGTTCCATCGTGGCTGTTCAGTAATGAACACTGGTGGTTTCTTGCTCTGTTATGGACATGTAGTCTCCACATATTCTTGGTATATGCAGGTATTACAGCTATAAAATGCAGTTGTAACAGCCCACCACAAAGACATTTCAGAAATCCCTGCTCTGCCTTTGCAATTCTGCCTTTGGGAGTTGTGTAGAACTGAGGCAATGTGCAATGGGCACAGGCTACCCCAAACAGAGACTCTTCCATGGGACAACTCTTGTATGAAGAGTTTGGAGGGCCAATTAATAACTGAAGGTCACCAAAGATGAACTGGGACAACAACTGGTTCATCAAAGGCCACAAAGACTAGCAGCAGCCTAAAGCCACTGGAGGCTCAAACCTGCAATTTCTGTGACTGAGTCAGTTTATGTCAACTCTTTGGTTTCCAAATAGAACACTAAGCTAGACTTGAAATAATGACCATGACAGCCTCCAAAAGCTAAACCTAAACCATAACCTAAAGGTTATCCAGAGGAAGGTTTGATAAACTCACTATCTGTTACCCTACTGTGAAATAACTCTTATTCTGCCCCAAAACATTAAAGCATATGCTTTCTTTCAAATCACTCTTATTGAAGGTTGATCAAGCATGTAGGATGAGTTACGTTCAACAGACAGGATTTCTTTGATGTTTTAAATCCCTCCTGGCTTCTTAAAAAGGCCTTATTTTCCTATTCTAGGGATAGAATAACTCTTTACCTGGAGGCTAACACCCAAAGAAATTCATGTTCAAAATCCCCTAATTAAGATCCCTGAGATGAATGAGCAAATTAAAGCAACAAAATAAGCTCTCATTGCTTGTTTCCTTTCTCTAGCTTGGATCCATACCGATTTCAGAAACAAAATTTCAGTTCGGAAAACTATAAAAGGATCTGTTGAAACATGCTCATTCCTTCAGAATGGTTATACATTTACCATGTGATTCCTCCTAGTATTTTGGTAAATAAATACCTTATAATAAATATATTCTCCATGACAGATCATACATGAGATGCATCTTGGAAACTTCCCATATCAGGTGATGCCAGGCATTGAATCAGGCTGCCCAGTCAAGTGGTGGCACTCCCACCTCTGGAAGTGTTCAAAACATTTGTAGATGAGGCACTTAAGGACATGGTTTAGTGGTGAAGTTGGCAGTGTTGGGTTAACAGCTGGACTCAATGATCATGAAGATCTTTTTCAACCTTAATAATTGTATGATTGTGTCTGCACTGTACCTTTTATTTCAGTGTTACAAGAGGGCAAAGGTGGGAAATTAATCTTCTGTTTATTTGGTCAAAGGTTTTCTTTTAGCCAGAGGTGTAAGAAACAATCAAACCACTGTGCATGTGGTTATATGCATATGTAATATGGCTGTAGTGTAGGTAAAAAGGCACTTCAGCTTTTCTCTTTATATGTTTAAAAAAAATACAAAAACCTTTAAAAAGACATGACAATGGTTAAGCTATAAACAGGTTAAAGCTTTTGTATCCTGAAGAAATTTTGTTGGATCATATGAAGACTTGCAGAGCTTGGGTGACAACCTGAGCCACTAGCCAGCTGTGATGTAACAGAACTGCTCCCCATTTCTGCACTAATGCCATCTTATCCAAGCACCTCCCAGACAACGGCAAGGAAAGGGATGTGTGAGCTGTGCTCTCTGGCACCCTGCTTCTTTAGGGATTCCCTTACTTCCTCTTCCCTCATAGGACTGAGACATCAATGTACTCAGTCCTGAGAGGCAGAAGGAGCTACACCATCCTTCAGTGGCTCCATCAATGTTCACATGGCCTGCTGCAGCACAAAGATGAGGGGTCTGTGGATTTGGGTAATAACATGCTTAAGCCAGCGGCTGTTTTGCTGAATTTTGTGCAATTTGCTGAATAACATACATATAAAAGAAACACACTGTCACTGGACAGTCACTGCAGACAAACAGGGCATACTATCTCAACAAATCTCATTTCATTCCAATATTTGTGAAAAATATTGTGAGATTATACAGGCCTTCTTTTGCAATTCTGTGGTATGAATGGCAAATTTCACTTTCCCTCAGAACACTTGCTAGATCAAAAATGACTGTGCAGAATTTAGACTTGAACAGACCAGAAATCTGTTACCAAAAGCTCCAAAAAGATACAGGAAATACCATAGCATGATTCTTTGGTTGTGTGTTCAAACACCCACTGTATTTGTCTTAAATATATTTACAGAAAACTAAGACCTACCCTTGGCCAACTACATTGAAACAGCTTCTTTCCATTTTTATGAACCACCAGAGAAAATTTACTAACATGCATTGGAAATGGGAGCTCTGATTAAAGCAAAGAATAATCTCTAGTTCATCATGCAGATGGAGATAAAAGCTTTATGTTCCGTAACAGATACTAAACCCAGTATCAGTAGTAAAACAGCCTGCAGTGCAGCTTGGAAATCAGAAACCCTTGATGTTGTTCTGTATGAAACACCATCCTAGAAGCAGCACGACAGCAAGCTTGGGACTTCCTCCATGGAAAATCAACATTCCTTTGGGGTAGTATGATGGACTCTGAAATTCTTTATACAAGAATATGAACACATTCAGTTAGCCTGCACCTTTAAATCTAAACGCAAAGAGCTAGAAAGATGAGTGAATAAAAATGGAGCAAGGATTAGGTACAATGTGCTTATTGTTCTTTATTGATCTCATTTTTTACATGACTAAGTGGACAGAAAATTTTAATTTATTTCCTGAGGAAGCATTTAATTTATGTAATTTGTTACAGAGCACGAAGTGCACAAAGCGCATCTCTTTGCAGTAAATTTACTCCTTTTGCTTTGTTTGCTTGCTCTCTGCAAGTCCCAAAAGCACTGCATCAGCTTCCAGCAATGTTGTATCACTGGCTGCCCCCAAAAACCTGGACGTCAGTTCAAGATCCAGCAGTCTGAGACGTACTCGGGTTCCTCTCTGATATTTTCTGTGAAGAGAAGGGGAGAGGGGGAAGAAGGTAAGTTTTGTTAAACACTGGTCTTGCACTTCCTAAGGCTCCCTCCTCTCTGCAGATCTAAGTAGCAGCCTCACTGTAAACAAAGTGCTGCAATGAAGTTCAATGATGTTATAATGTCATCAGCATTAAAAACTGCTGGGACACACTCCCTACCACCACAGAGCCAGTCTCTTCTGATAAAATCCTGCCCGTCGAAGAACAGACACCACCAGATCCCACTGTGGGAATGCAGACTCTACAAAAAAGCACTTTATTATATGGGAAACTGTTTGTGTCTTCCATCAAAATATTTTACTGTATCATGCCAATAATTATCTGCAAGACAACATATCATCAAAGGGGAGGAAAAGTCATCATTAGATCACTGGTGACATTGCTATTATCAAAAAGTACAATGCCAGCTAACTATGGTTTATATTCCCAACCCTGGGCCTCAGGCAAGGAACTTTACTTGTCTTATCCCCCCGTCCAAAGAGTGGGCATCATCTGCAAGTTTTTTATTACATATAATTAAAAAGAAACCCCACAACCATTGTAATGAAACATTCTGCCTACAGGCCCCGGTTTTATTGTTTTATGCTCTCTTTTTTCTTTCCTTTTCCTTTTATGTCAGAAGATGTGAGCATTCAACGTGTTTTTAAAACAGACCCTGTGTTAAGATGGCCATGCCAAATTAGTGAAGATTTTTAAAATATCAGCAGGTTTTATAATGCACCTGGAGAGCTACTGATTGAAGTCCAGCAATAAAATTGAATACTATTCTTCTTTTGAAAGTTCAAATTGTACTTTTTTTTTCCCCTAGTCAAAGCATAAAGAGCTGAAGATTCAGCAAGCTTGACTTCCTTGAGCAAAAGTAAAAGAAAGTTAGAAACGTTCTCCAGTAACCAAGAGAAAAAAAATGTATAGGGAAGCCTGGTTGCACCATTTCCACCTTGCTCATTTTCACCTCCACCTTGAGTAGACAATCTTCTCTCTCTGATAATTGTTTGCTAGCATGAAGCAAAACTGAACCAGATTTCAACTTCCTTCAGCTCTTCAAACCAAGATTCATTTGGAAAACTAAACATCTTAAAAAAGGTCCCGGACTTGCATTCATGGTGGGTTTTGTTTTTGTTTCATTTTGTTGTTATTTTCTGTCAGTGCTATCTTACATTCATTTCCCTTGCCTCTTGGTTCATCCTAGGTAATACCTGGCTATGATCCAGACTGAAAAGGAAGAGCATTTGGTACCGCCACCCTGAGTAGATATGTGGGTACATAGGGTACTCAGTCAGCAAGAATTCTGCCAACATTCATCCCAACAAATCCTATGATGATCTGCATGAGCCCAGTGGAAATAACACACATTTTCTTAAAAACATAAAAGCGAAGGCCCTCACCAGTCCAAAATGCAAGTAACCACTGCTGCAGTGAAAAGTATGGCACAGCTACCAAAGACTCAACACAGCTTATGTTTGGTTGTTACCTAAATAGCTGGAAGGGATCAATTCTGTCCTTTCCTCTGTGAAATACATACATTTCAAAACAGAACAGTTTCACAACAGATGAGAATTATTTATGAAAACTAACATGCAGCATTTCAGCATTGCTGAAATCAAAAGACAATGCCTAAGACTTTAAAGTGCATGGTATCTTCCAGGATTTGTTAGGCTTATTGAGAAGAATGGTCCCCAAAAAAGTTTTGGGATAAAAAGGAGAATGAAGAGGAAAGCTCCTCAGAAGTATCTTAAATGAAGACCAGCTGACTAGTAGTTTTAGCCATTTGGGTATATGGGAGAAATTCCCAGAAAATTCTGTAGCATGGGCTGCCTTTGCCTCTAACCGTGAAGTTATCCTGATCTTTAACAATATCTTCAGCCTAAAACATCAAACTTTATTGCCTTTATCAGTGGGGAGGGGAAGGTTAGTTTTTGAGAAAGGCTAAAATAACAGGGAGAGAAGGAGAGATGGAGGGAGAAATGGTCTGTGGAAGCAGGAAAGAAGGAGCAGATACCTTTTAATGAGAAGATAGGCTTGGAAAAAGAGAAGAAGAGATAAATGTAAAGCATATGACAAAAAAGCACTGAAAACACAGGTGAATTCTATAGAAATCTAGGAAACTATACTATATACAGTAGAGCCAAGAAGAAGAAAACATCACTGAAAAGACTGCATAAAACTATTAAAACCTGACACTAACCTGAGATCTTTGAACTACAGCACTCTGTGCTGCTTAAAAAAATCTTAATATATTTTAAATGTAATAAAACTTAAGACTAACACTAGTGGTTCTGTAATGAATTTTGAAGACCAGTCATCCCTCTGCCTTTTTCTTCTCTCTTTCCTCCTACAGGAAAAGCAGCTCACCAGTAACCTGGTTACTGGTTACAGTGCTGGTTACAGCAGAAAGCTGTTGAGAAAACTATCTTCAGCATCCAACACATTTCTACAGAGATTGAACTGAATGAGGTTTAAATTGAATTAGAAGTCCTTTCTCTATTTGCCAGCACACAGTGGGAGAGATATTGAACTCCATCTTTATAACTGAAATACAAAATATTACTTTCATCATGCATCAGTTCCTTTTGGGCTGGTTGCTCGACTACAGTGATGTTTTATAAGTATGAAACTCATTTTTTTTCTAATCAAGCCTTTAAAAGTACTATTTATAACCAGGGAAGTCCATATGGAAAATCTGTGAAGAAACTGTACTTCTCATGATTAATGCATCTGATTTTATGAAAATAAATAAATAAATAAATAATCTTAAGCACAACTCCCCCAATTTTAGCACTGCTCACTGTACAGTCTGCAAAGAACTTTTCTCTGATTTCCAGACATGACTTTAACATATATTTGTAATGCAAAATCCAGGCAATTGTATTTTCATAAAAAGAATCACAATCTTCAATGATGCTTCAGTAACTGGAACAGATTCCAGATACTTTAATTGTACTTAATTATTAAAGAAGTTTTTCCAGTCACAGCACATCTGCTTGCAAAAGGATTGTGATGAACATCTCTTCAAGGAGCTGACACAACTGCCAATTTATATGAATATAAACATTTGGGTTTGTGACAGATGTTCCCTACAGCTAAAACACTTCAAGAGTATGTGGATGATGTAGAAAAAGCAGAAACATGAAAGCAACATGCAGTGGTGGTCTATCCACCACATTTTAGAGCAAGAGGAAATGATAGGTTGTTCTATGCACAGCAATCATATTCTATCCACGAAGCTATTTATCCTTAAAACAGATAAAACTATTCTATGGTTAAAGCAGAAGCTTGAAGCAGGACCCAGAAACAAAGCAAGCAGTTTATTATTTTCAGGAATAGTGGCCTAGGAAACACAGGACACCAGTGCAAAAGGAAAGAAACCATCTACTTACTCCACTTTGCAACAGGACTCGTTTTATATGTAAGTAACAATGCTGGTATTCAAGATCATCTTATCCAATGACCATCAGCAGGTACCACTGACCTTGACCCAACCCCCAAGCACTGTGTTTCTCAAGGATCCCCGTGTCTTCCTCCTACCACTTCCTATTGCCAGGTAAAAGTATTAATTTCACTGAGAAGTTGACAAAGGTGTTTAGTTAGATACATAAATGAAGGTATAAGAATTTCTCTAGAACTTAAAAAAAATTATTTTGCAAGCAGGCACAAAGCTTGATCAACTTTCACAGAATTTATTTACAACAGCTCTGAATTTTAACCCTTTGGGAACCCAGTTTTGAATGGAATGACCCCACCTAACACCCACATTCAGAGCTGGGAATCCAGCAGCTGTTGTTGATGAGCCATGACCCCTTCTCAAGCCAGTGTCCAGAGCACCCACTGAAGCACCACCAGAAACCTTTGCCTGAACTTCAACCGAGGAACAATGGGTCCCAAAAAGCTTCCTCTGTTTTAAATGTGCACCTGCAGGCTTCTCCAGCTCTTCTGGAGTGGACAAAGCACTAGGTACAAGGTGTACCTTCCCTCAAACATCCACTTCCAGAAGACAACGTTTAGTTAAGTTAGACGCAGCCCAAACAACTGCTTCAGTGCTCTTTGTAATTTTTGAACTGTCATGGAGAAGTAGAAAAGAAGCAAAATTAAAACCCTTTTTCTTATTTGAACCTTAAGTCCATGCAACCACACATCACCGATGTAACATGGAGTGTAAGAGCACAGAGAAAGCACACAGCACAGCCTTGCTCATGGTGCTAAAGAAATTTTAAAAACAAATACAAAAATAAAAGTTTGTGTCCTGTTACTACATTAAAAATAAGGCCTATTATCTATTTCCTACTCTATCTATTTATCATGCAAATATCAAACTACTGTGTCTTAACTTACAAATAGTATCTCTTCCCTTTACTCATCATATGAGTAGAACAGGGAGCACTTTCAAGCGACTTGGGAGCATCCCTCTGACTCTCTATATTGCTTTTATTGCAATTTGGTCTCTATGCTGATCCTTTCACTTTTGCACTGAAGCCTTAAATCTCTCAAAATCTTAATGGTAAATTAAAGGGTTTAGCCAAAACTCCCCAAACTCTTCAGTCAAGATTTTAAACTTGTAATTTTAAAGTAATTTTACTATGTGAAAGATATATGAAGAAACAAAAAACCCTAATATTTTTACATAATAAAACTGGAGGGGGAAGATACGGAATGACATAAATTTTAGCTCCTGCTAATTAAGAATGCTGGCGGGGGGAAATGTTTTTTTTAACTTAAACTTAAAAGTCATTCCAGGTTACAGCAAAATGTCTACAGAGTTGACTTGGAAAGCAATGAGCATGTAAAAACAAGGAGGCTATAACTAAAAATGAGGATCCTAATTATACCAATTTTGGCCAAGAAACTGGGACAGTAGTTTTGCAGGTGTGCACTTTCACATGCAAAGGAAGCATCCTTATTACTAAACGGCATTAAGAGCTTTATTCAAACTCTAAATTATATGTGAAGACATTAAAGAATTTTGTTAAACTATCCAGTAT